TACAAAAATGGGTGTGGTGGTAGGCGCCTGTAGTCCCAGCTCCTTGGGAGGCTGAGGCAGGAGAATCGCTTGAACCCAGGAGGAACATGTTGCAGCGAGCCGAGATAGCACCACTGCATTCCAGTCTGGGCAACAGAGCAAGAACAGAACGCAGTCTCCCTCCTGGAATGGAGAAAAGGAACAAGAGTTTTTCACCAATGGCAGACACCTGTGTTGCATGCAACAGAGGGACACCAGCTTCTTTTCTACAAGGAGGTTAAGTGTGAGAACTTGGTCAAAGCTTGCACTTAGCAAACATATCTTTATAGCCAGGATCAGACAGAAAAATCGGTGGCGAGGAGTGAGGGCTGGAGAGCAAAGCACTTCCTAGAGACATCATCCAAAACACAACCAGTGGGTGTAATTTTAGGGCCAATACCTGGGAGTTGTGTTCTGGACTGCTAGGGGTTTGGAAACGGGTGGGATATACTTATTATCAGGCTTCCCAGGAGTCCTGAGGCTCGCTGACTAGCAACAAACGTGGAACTCTCACGAATGCATCCTGGGGCTGGTGGCTGGCTACTCCTGGTCATCTGGTAGCCCATAATCTAGGCCTCAAGCACTCGAGAGGCCTCTGAAAATGTCTCACCGCAAAAACAGACTGGAAGGGGCCCCATGATGAATATGAGGGAGCTAACTGAGGACATCAGGAAGCGGGTACTAGAAAACCCACACACTAGCTGGCCTGCCTCTATTTCTGAGGGTAAAATTACATTGCAGGTAACTACCACCGTTTTCCTACCTGGAAGATGGGCATAACATTGAGACCCAGAGGTGAAAGTGGGGGTACTTAGTCCAATCCTAGTATTTCACAAAGGAGGTGGAGGAGACAGGAGGTGAACTGACCAGCTCGAGTACCCAGCTCGTGAGTGGCCAAATCAAGATGAACATCTAGATTGTGACCCATCAGTGTTCCCTGCACCCACCTGGTTTCTTCCAGGTCCTTCCCTGAAAACAGGAGTTAGCTGAAGGGAGTTCCTGCCATAAAATTAGTATCACTTTATCAACCTACCTACCTCAGCGGAAGATCCAATGAAAAGGACAGCTGCCGCCTGCAGACCAAGTTCACCTGGGTGCCTAAAGATGTCCCACAAATGATTATAGGTGGGTTTTCAAGCTTGAGGATGATGAGCAATCCTAGGGTGGTGATGCAGATCTATCCAGAAGCCCTGAAGAAGGCAAATGACACTGATGATGAAAAGCAAGAAGCACCCTTTGTGATGGAGGGTCCCAGCCCCTTACCTAGACCACAGTCCTGCAAGCAAGTCAGGGCCAGGACCTGAGTAGGGTCAAGGAGCCCCGTGCCTGGTTGAATGCGCAGCAGTTACCGTGTGAAATTTTCAAGAACTTAACAAGGGGCCTGGCATCTTCATTTCACACTGGGCCCCTCAATCACGTGGCCAGGGCCACTGCCTCCCTAGAAGCCATAGAGGGATGGCCCGGTCTACACCTCTTCGTCCCCCACCCCACCCCCGCAGCCCTAGACCAAGGGGACCCAACGGAAGCCCTGCCACTTGCACCCCCCGCTGCGCCTGGCTTCGGGAGGGGAAGAAGGCTGCGGGAAGGGGCAGTGGAGCGGAAAGAGGTCCACACCCTCGGGCAAGGAGCCCGCTAACCAGCGGCCTTTTCCAACCCTGGCAAGCAAGACGCCAACGCAAAAGTGCCTCCGGCCCACCCCCATCCCCTGCGCTGCCTGACTTGGTTCCAAGGGTTGCCCCTGTCCTCCCTGCTCCGGAGGCGACGCCTTCCATGCCGCCGCAAGCGGCGACGTTCTGACTTCCGACGGGCAAGTGGGCCGGGGATGGAGGCCGAGGCTCAGTTTGTCGGTGGGGAAAATGGGAAGGCGCGAGGCCCTTGCGGGCGGAGGGAGCTGCCAGGGGAGCCGAGCCAGAGCAGGATGCACTTCCGGCCCCCGGGCCGGGCCGCCCCGCCGGCGCCTCGGCTGAGGGAAAGTTTGGGGACTGGTGACCGGGAGGCGCTGTCGGCCGGAACCCCGGCCTTGCCCAGTGGCCACAACTCTGACGGGCAGGAAAGACTAACGGCCCAAATGCCGGAGCCAGACGCCGGGAGCCGCCGCAAACTCCGCGCCTCAGGGGCGGGGACACGGTGGAGGGGCGGGGCTCCGGCGGAGGGCCTGAAACCACTGGGATGAATAAAGTTCCAACGAAAAGCGTACTCGTAGGGGTTCCATAGTGTAGTGGTTATCACGTCTGCTTTACACGCAGAAGGTCCTGGGTTCGAGCCCCAGTGGAACCACAGCCGCGAGGCGGCCATTTTGGCTTTGAAAATCCCTAAACGTTTCGGTTAAAAAAAAAAAAGACAACGAAATGTTTTTCTTTGTCCTTCTTTTTTTTTTTTAAAATTTTTTGGCATGTTTATATCGCAGAAGTGAAATGACAGACACCCTCTCCTACCCCACAAGGTCGCTTCCGCCATCGTCCCACCTGAGAAATAGCGAAGGGCAGGAGCCGGGGGAAGTCCTAGACCCGATCCGGCGCCCCCGATCCGACTGGGCCCTACCCACTCTCCTTTCAGTACCCAGGGCGGCCTCCGAAAATCGGGCTCTCAGGGATGCACCTGGCGCTGCCTTTTCCCTGCAAGTCAGCAAGGGCCGGCCCCCCAACCTCCAACTAAAATGTGGTAGGCAATACAGCAGCTGAATTATTAAAAGTTGATCATGATTATGACTCTGATTAAAAGTTCTATTTTTCATTAAGCTTTGATGCACAGAGCAAGTAAAAAAAAAAAAAAACACTGTCCTTTTTAGTGCAGCAGTAGAGTCTGTGTAATAGAGTTCATACACAGTATAAAATAAATGTCAGACATTCAATTAATACTGGTTGAATGAGCAAACGTTTCTCTAGTTTCTTTCTGTTCCTCTTTACTATTTCATTATAGTTTCGTTTGGGGAGTTTGTTATTTGTTTAAATATTAGTCTTTTTTATCTTTGACAAGAGGAATGAGGGTGTGAGCCATGGTGGGATGGTGGCAGCCAAAAACTAAAATGGGAAGGAGCACTCAGTATTTTTCTCTGCATTTGTCAACCTAGTTGTGCATCCTTAGCAGCGTAGAAATTTTCGTCTTTTTCTAACTCAAGATCATAACTCCTTCCCTCTTATTACAATCACTTCATCAACTTTATTCTTTTTTAAAACCACCTTAAACTTTTTTTTTGTTTTGAGATGGAGTCTCGCTCTGTCACCCAGGCTGGAGTGCAGTGGCACGATCTCGGCTCACTGCAACTTCTGCCTCCTGGGTTCAAGCGATTCTCCTACCTCAGCCTCCCAAGCAGCTGGGATTACAGGCACTTGCCACCACACCCAGCTAATTTTTGTATTTTGGGTAGTGATGAGGTTTCACCATGTTACCCGACTGGTCTCAGACTCCTGACCTCAAGTGATCCGCCTGCCTCGGCTTCCCAGAGTGCTGGGATTCCAGGCGTGAGCCACCGCGCCCAGCCCACCTTAATCATTTTTAAGTATACAGTTCAGTAGTGTGAAGTATATTCACGTTGTTGTGAAACAGATCTCCAGAACCTTTTCATCTTGCAAAACTCAAACTCTATACCTATTAAACAACTCCCCTTTTCCTCCTATCAACTTTATTCTGAATGGTGATGTAAAAATAATAGCTAACTATGTCTAGCACTGTGCTAAGTATTTTGTATATATGATCTCATGAAAGCCTCAAAATAACTCTAGAAAGTAGGCATTATTGCCAGGCACAGTGGCTCATGCCTGTAATCCCAGCACTTTGGGAGGCCGGAATGGGTTGATTATGAGGTCAAGAGATCGAGACCATCCTGGCTAACACAGTGAAATGCTGTCTCTACTAAAAATACAAAACAATTAGCCAGCATGGTGGCAAGTGCCTGTAGTCTCAGCTACTCGGGAGGCTGAGGCAGGAGAATCGCTTGAACCCAGGGGCCAGAGGTTGCAGTAAGCCGAGACCGCGCCATTGCACTCCAGCCTGGGTGACAGAGTGAGACTTCGTCTCAAAAAAAAAGAAAGTAGACATTGATATCATCATCTTACAGAGGAGAAAATTGAGGCACAGAGATGTTAATAACTTGCCCTGAGGTCACAATGTAAAGTGCTAGTGCTGCAATTTGCACCCCGTCTGTGCTCTTAACCCTACTGGCTGCATTCATCTCCTACTTAACCAGCCCCTAACCTTGGCCATTTAGATAGTTTCCAACATCTTGTTATAAGTAGCAATGCACAGCTTCGTGTAACTGTCTTCCCACCACCAAATTTAGCCTTTTCCTGAGTGAATAGGTGTGCACATGATGCCTAGTTGCTTTCAAAGAGCATTTCCATGACATTTTCATACAATTTGAGAATGCTAATGCTTATTTGGCAGGAAATTGTTCAAAGTTGCCCCCAGAAGATGATGGCGAAGAAAGGACAAAGACCCGAGACTTCTGGTTCTAGTTCCTCTCTCCCTCCATTGCTTCCCTTACATTAAATAGAATGAAAACAGTATGGGCCAGGCGCGGTAGCTCATGCCTGTAATCCCAGTACTTTGGGAGGCTGAGGTGGGTGGATGACCTGAGGTCAGGAGTTCGAGACCAGCCTGGCCAACGTGACGAAACCCCATCTCTACTAAACATACAAAAATTAGCCAGGCAGGGTGGCGGGTGCCTGTAATCCCAGCTACTCAGGAGGCTGAGGCAGGAGACTAGATTGAATCCAGGAGGCAGAGGTTGCGGTGAGCCGAGATTGCACCATTGCACTCCAGCCTGAGTGACAAGAGTGAAACTCCATCTCAGAAAAAAAAAAAAAAAAAAAAAGAATGAAAAGTATCTTCCTCACAAACCCAACCTCAGTTGATGCTAGTATCTTCCATGAGACTTTCTTGTTGAGGCAGGTAACTCTGTGGGTTAACTTGATGGGGCTCAGCCCAAGACCTAAGAACTAAATTGGAATAAGATGCTTAACGAGGCCAGGGCTCAACTTAATCCCCTGCTCCTGGCCCAGCTCTCCAGTTCAGGAAGGTAGAGCTTCGGCTGAGGACAAGGGGAAGATGCCGCGCAAGATAGAAGGCTTTTTGTTTTTACTTCTCTTTGGCTATGAAGGTATGTGCTATTCAACCATTGACATTCATTGCATACTTAACATGGAATTTAATTAATATCGTTGATAAACAGGAATATAACTTGAATAATAGAAATATTATTAATTAGCAACGTGTTAATTAACTAATACGTGTTATTAATGAATAACAGTTGTCTTTATGTAGATGGCTTTCCACTTCTGTGAGGAGCCTTCTAAAGTTCAAAGGATGCTTAAATTCCGATGGAAAGAAAGATGGGTCTCAAAAATCAATAAAACAGCCATAAGTTGCAACAACGAATGAGAAAGTATTCTGGAAACCTTTAGGAGTCAAAGTTGGAGTGACTGTAGAATTTAACATTGCAAACCAGAACGCTATTGACAGTGGAGGAAGACCTGCTGGGACAACAGGTATAACCCAGGACCATCCAGGGCAAATCGGGACATAAGTTCACCCTAGTTTAAATATGGATTAATGTAACATGCCCAGTACCACTGGAATCTAATAAAAAACATAATCCAACAGAGAGTCAGGAAACCCCGGAGACTTAATACACCCAGTCATTTAACAGTTTCTGAATATGAGCCTAGCGGAAGTGATATGCTTCAATCAGGAAAAAATAAGGGCAAATCTCTAAAATGTCGTTCAGTTCCAATTCCCCCTCATCTTTGAAATAATATTCTTTCATGCCTCTCTCAATTCTCAAGTACACATCTGCTCAGAATTTCTTCTCAGATACATCCAGATGTTAGAAATTGGTTGACTGTCTTCTTTGTGGATATCGTGTATTTGTGTGTGTTATAGAAAATAAATTAAAAAGCAGGAAGAAGGAGGTCTCTCTGCTCTGCAAATGACCTGGTAGACAAACACAATGAAACTCACACAAGTAGAATCAGAATTCTTGGTTTCACAGCTCACTGCAGCCTCAACCTCCCAGGCTCAAACCATCCTCCTGCCTCAGCCTCCCTAGTAGCTGAGATTACAAGCATGCACCACCACATTCGGCTAATTTTTTGTATTTGTAGACAGAGGTTTTCGCCATGTTTCCCAGGCTGATGACTTTTGTTACTAAGTCACATTTCTCAGTATTTGGAAAGACTGGTGACAATATAATTCCAAGGTCATTCTGCAAACCATAAGGTACATTTCTAAGTAGGGATCATTTAAACCCATGTCTGTTGTGATTTTTTTCCCCTGAAATTAATAGTCCACATCTTGTCCCAGGAACTCTGAGCACTTTAAGATGCTTTGCGCTTTTGTTGTTTTTCCTTTACTCCTTGACCCCTCCTCTTTCCTTAGCAAGAAAATCTAAGCAGACTGTGTCAAGGCTTAGATCTAAATACTCCTGGTTCTCAGACACCCTCCAGGCTCACTCTCAGATTTCTCTTCTTTGTGATTGGCATGGAGATTCATTCATTCCTCAGTCCCTTCGTTCAAGAACTCATCCCTGAGTATCTGCTAGGGGGCAAACACTGTGTAGGAACTTGACATGCAAGGCAGATCGTTGTTGCTTCCACAGCACTGAGTCTAACAACCCTGTTCTGTGACCTCCCCACCCCCATGGGAAGCAGTCCTAGAAAAGTTTACCAATGAGCCGGGCACGGTGGCTCATACCTGCAATCCCAGCACTTTGGGAGGCTGAGGCAGGTGGACCACCTGAGGTCGGGAGTTCCAGACCAGCCTGACCAACATAGAGAAACGCCATCTCTACTAAAAATACAAAATTAGCCAGGTGTGGCAGTGCATGCCTGTAATCCCAGCTACTCAGGAGGCTGAGAAAGGAGAAGTGCTTCAACCCAGTAGACAGAAGTTGCAGTGAGCTGAGATTGTGCCACTGCACTCCAGCCTGGGTGACAGAGTGACACTATCTCAAAAAAAAAAAAAAAGTTTACCAATGCATTTCAAAATTACACCTGCCCAGTTAGTAGATATCAGTAATAGAAGACAGGCTGGCAAGAGGCATGAAGGATGGCACTCTTTCGTGTTCTGAAGTTTACCAATCTTACTGCATGGCTGGGGTGCTCCAGAAATGTCTATGAAAAGCAGAGAACATCGTCTCTCCAGGTAGATGCAACGTAGGCCAGTGGGAAAGCTTGGGGAGCTTACATGATCTTACCCACCTAACCCAGGCCTTTAACACCTCTTGGAAGGAAAGCAGCCAGCCAAAAATAGCCACTGTGGCTTGGAGACCTACTGTGTGCCCTACCCTGAGCCAGAGGGATGCTCCAGGGGACAGAGGGCACAATCACTGCACTTAACCAGCATATTATCCAGGTGGAGATGCATAAGACCCCCATATATGGGAAAGATGCGATCCATTGCACAGCTGGGAACCTGAAGACAAAGCGTCTTCATCCAATTTACCCTCCTCTGCTTCTGTTCCTCGGTGGCAGTATCTCCTCATTACGGTGAAATGAGGTAGAATAATTGTCTTCACTTAGGCATTGGGTGAAGGTTCATTTGGGAGAGCACACAGCACCGTAGTAAGGCACTTCCTGTGTCTTCTAAGAGTCAGGCTTCTATTTCTCTTACACCACACATATTGGATTCAATGCCAATAATGAGTTTTAGAACGTCCATCTTATTAAAATATCTTACTTCATTCCTTGGTCATGCTTATCATATAAAAACCAAAAAAGTCCTTCAGCCTCAACTTATAGGTGACTGTGTTACCATCAGGGACTTCAGGGTTGTTTTTAAAGCAGCTTTATTGAGACATAATTTATGTACTCTTAAATTCACCCATTGAACGTCTATTGTTTGATCGTTTTAAGTATATTTACAGATTTGTGGAGAACATAATCTAATTTTAGAACATTTTCATCACCCAAACATGAAGCCCTCACTCCCCATTCTCCTTGTCCCCTCCCTCCCCCAGCCCCTGGGCAACCACAAATGGACTTTCTGTCTCTAAAGATTTGCCAGTCCTGCACAGTTCATTTCAATGGAATCACACAGCATGTGGTCTTTTGTCTTTCACTTAGCATATGTCGTCGCTGAGGTTCATCTGTGTCTGAAGCATGTGCAGATAACAGATTTACCCATGAATATGACTGTCGCCTAAAATAGTAAGACTTTCACACCAGAAGCAATTTCCTTCTTTTTATTTCACGAGAGGGACGTTATTGCAGCCTGCTGCGTCCCTCCTGTTTCTCAAGTAGATTGGGAGCTGGTTACAGACCATTTTTAATCATTCATAATTTTATGCTTTTCTCCTTGGCTTCATCTGTTTCCATGGGAAGGAACACTTTGTAGTTGGTGATATCCAATCAAAGAGACCAAACTAGTCTTTCCTGTGCGTATCTAAAGCGCATGCCTTTCCTCCTGGGTTGCAAGGTACATTTCAAGAAATAGACATGTTTTGAAATTTCCTGCTGTGGCAACAAGGGTTTCCCCAGTAGAGTGGCCCTTTTGGACCAAGGGGCAAATGAGCCCATATTGCATAAATCTAAGATTCGTGACTGGCAGATATCTCATGTAACGAGTGGTGGAATCACAGAAGCCATCCAAGTAGGGAGAAAAATATGCAACCACATAATCGAAATCTTTCACTATTTTTCCTTTAGAGGCTGAGGTTTTTCTCTTGTTCTCATTCCAACAATGCTATTTTCCAGTATGATACTATTAGGTTGGTGCAAAAGTAATTGCGGTTTTTGACATCACGATATGTTATGGTCAAAAATGCTTTTGTTCTCTAGTTCACTGGTGATTAAAACCTTATGCGGCACTGCAGCTACCATGTTGCTTCTCCTTTGGTGACAGCTTTTTCTGTAAAACACTTGTCGTTCCTTCTTTCTCTGTTCATTTCCATAAGGATCTGGTACCTCAGAACCTGAGGCTGTCTACAGACAAATGCTTTCTAGAGGAGGGGAGTCTAGGAGGAAAAGAAACACAAAAAATCAGCCCAAAATTGGATTGCACCCAGGAATTGGCTCCGAAAGCAGGCCTTTTCCTTGGACTCTAGGTTTGCTTAGTGACAGCTCAACAGACCAGACCCTCTCCAGTAGTGACAGACATGGCCTTTGAGCCAAGTGGATTTGGTTATGAAAGCCACACTGTCAGTAACCAATACCCCTTGCCTTTGGTTTTTCAAAAAGAGGATCTGGTACAATTTTTTTTTTTTTTTTTTTTGAGACTCCACTCTGTTGCCTAGGCTGGAGTGTGGTGGCGTGATCTCAGCTCACTACAGCCTCTGCCTCTGGGGTTCAAGTGAGTCTTCTGCCTCAGCCTACCAAGTAGATGGGATGACAGGCATGCACCACCACGCCTGGCTAATTTTTGTATTTTTTGTAGAGATGGGGTTTCACCATGTTGGCCAGGCTAGTCTGGAACTCCTGACCTCAAGTGATCTGCCCGCCTCGGCCTCCCAAAGTGCTAGGATTACAGGTGTGGGCTACTGTGCCCAGCCTGGCACAACTGGTGTTAGCCTAAGAGACAGAGCCCTTCAGAAACTGCCTCACAGCCAGTCCCAGCTTCTCCTGAGGGTGAGGATGGGGCAGAGCATCTCCTGGACTAGCAGCCCCCAGTTAACTAGACCATAATTGCTTATTTCCTTTGCATTTCTTGATGAACAGCTACAGGCCTGAGGTTAGGAGTTTATATAGTCATTAACTCTGCAGAGCACAGGGCACCATCCAGCCTTTCTGGGCTTCCCCTTGAGTTCCAGAAGCATCTGTCCCGCTGCCAGCTCATTTTGAACACTGGGGTGTCCCCTAGGCATCTCAAATTCATTATGTCCCAAACAGACCATCCTTCTCCCCATCCTCCCCAAATCCCTTGTCCTCACTGAAATCTTCTCCCCTTCCTCCCTCCCTGTAAATGGCAGCTCTATTCCCCCAGTTGCCCCAGCCTCAGACTTGTGTTTCTTTCACACCCCCACCCCTGCCATGTGTAACCTGTCTGCAGGTCCTGTGGGCACTACTTCCCCAGTACAGTCAGAATCCAGCCACTTATTGTTGTACCTGAGCAAGTCAAGGAATGTGCCACACTCTGAGATTGAATTATGAGTCCCTTATTATGCCG